CAAACTTTCGATGGTATCGGCAGATCCATGTAGACTCGTCACGGTTGAAGAATGAACGTGAACGTGTAGGATGAGAGCGTGAAGTTGAGCGAGAGCGGTGAGTTAGTTTGGCGGAAATTTGGGAGATATGTAGAGAAAGTTCTGAAACTTGTTGCTTCAGGGCTTCAAAGTCGGTCTGTGTGTTTGAAGTCATGACTACTGATTGCACTGAAGGAGAGGGCTTAGTACCGTAGCATGAAAACACCTGGTCAGCCAATTCGGCTAATTTTGGCAGCGTTGTGTCTTTGTCAACAACCGACAAGACCTTCCTTATGTCTCCAAGGAGGTTTAGCAACCACAACTCCTTGAGGATGCTCTCATTTACCGCCTGCTTTCCTTGTAGCCGTGTCATATGTCGGAGTAGTTGAGCGGGGTTACGATCACCTAGTTCCACGCCGGCAAGTAAAACACGGAGCTTCTGTTCATCGGTGGCTGCTGTTCTCTTAATCAAACCATCTTTTAGTATATCGTATGGGTTTACATCGGGTTTCTCGTAGATGACGTCAGCAATTTCGACGGCAACTTCAGGTGGAAGATGTACAACAACGCAACCATACTTGGTTTGTTGTGATCTAACGCGACGGCACTCAAAAATTGCCTCTACCTGAGCAAACCACAGTCTAGGATGATGAATACCGTAAGCTGGTAGTCTTAAACTCAAAATATCTTGCGAGTTCATAAGTGAATCGTTTGAATCAGACATGATAGTAATGAGAAAAAATGAATACGGGAGTTCTAGGTGATCTAAGAGAAATAAAATTCGGGCTCACCAATTATGTAGTGGATAACGTGAGCAAATACCAGTTCCAAGTAGTGAAATCAAGCGAAAAAAATAGACGAGATGTTACAACTCACAGTTCGTTGGTACAGTTAGTTATTACCACCACAGTAAATCCAAAGCGATCTCCTTCCTGGAATCTTCCTTGATATATTCCTAGATACTTTCTATCCCGTCATAGTGTGAAAGGTAGATCACCGCTCGTTAATTCGCTGCCAGCGTAATTCGTCAGAGCAAGAAGGTAACACGCCTTTCACGATATTTTTTTTTCGTTCATTTTAAACAAAAGTTATTCGGTATGAAGAGAAGAGGAATAAGCTGAGATTTTAGTGAGAGATAGAAAGTGGTACAATTTGAGTAATGATAAGCTACAAAGAAAGTACTAATGTACAATGGTCAGAAGGATCACCACAGACCATGCTGCTGCGATCAGTGTCAATAGTGGTATCAGTATTATACTACCATGAACTACCATAGTAACCAATGGACATACTGCGACCCAGTATCTTGTGGTGTACTGCTTTTGGGTGATTGTGCTGAAGGAGGACTCGAAAGTTGAAAATTGCATCATTTCCAGCTCACAGATAAGTAGGCAGCAATAAGGCATGGCGAAATAATTATTGGGCTTAATCGCAGGAAATTTGACAAGCGTAGACAAAGCATTACGAGAAGAGAAATCGCGGTCGAACTGACGGATATCCATAACAAAAAATAGTCAAATGGAAACCTCTAATGTAACGGAACTAAAGGGCAACCCATTTGGCTGACCACATTCTTTTACTTAAATGAACGAAAACTGGTTTCTTCGCTTGACTTTTGCAACAGCTACTTTCAGGGGAAGTTTAGCTGTTAGAAGACAGTTGATCTGGGTGTGTGGAATTTATGACATGTAGCTATAATAAAATGGGAGGGACAGCGCAATCGTTGCCAAATTCTGTATTGTATTTGTTCAAAGGAGAGGTATGTGTTTCCATTCGAAGCTAGCATTGAACACAGCTTTTCAATTTTGACTCGTTGGTTAGCAGTACGTTATAGAGGCTGCACCTGTAATTTGTGCGATCCGAGATGGTGGTTTCAGTTGACGGATCTTTATTCTGATGGCAATTTTAATGAATTAGTTTAGTTGATAAAAATTGCACTAATCTTTCGCATTCAATGTGATTCGGAACGTGACAAACTGTTCGAGTGGTGGTGTCGAGACATTGGGTTACGCCTGCACTGAGCATGAAAGACTACCGGATAGGGAGAAGACAGAGAACTGCGGACACGGCTGTATTGCCAGGACAAAATATACAGAATGTCTGCGTAAATATACAGGATGAATAATTGGCCAAATATGCTCGTTCAATTGCTCGTTCCGTACAGCCAATCGTGGTGATCCGGTCGTGCACATTATCAGGCCAAATACTCTGGTCGTCTGTTGCTGTTAATACGCAGTGATACGTATTT